TTGAGATTCTGAACTAATTTAAGATGGGTATAACCAGAGCGAATAAAATTACATCCCTGTATTGCAGAAATAAAGGGCTAGGGCTAATTCACATGTAGAAATTTTTCACGATCTGGATGACAATTAAACTTACTGATTCTATATGGGGATCTGGATGGGGTTTACAAATTTGTAAATAATGGACAAACATAAAGAATAGAGACAAACAGAAAAAAATAAGGATATCAAGGAAACAAGTAACCAAAATGATTGTTGTATGATATTCAAAGAATCATAATAATTGTTATTAATATAGTTTATTGGCTTCAAGCAACTGTGTTCTTGTACCTTAATGTGCATGAAGGAATGTCACAACAAATCACTAAACATTTAACGCTCTTAATTATATAATTCACTATAATAGTTATATTAATTTTGCATTAATTGGGTCAATATCCCTACTGCGCCTCAACTTGAGGAACACAAAAGTTGTGCATAAACAAAAAATCTCTGTGTAGTGATATTGGACGTGTTTCTATTTTTAACAAGTGACTGAGCTTAACCATTTGTGTTAATTTGAAAAGTAGAGGACCATAGAATAAATGTGTAAAAACTATGCAGTTATTAAATGCATGCAAAGTATTAAATTTTCAAAGAACTTATTATGTGAAAAAAAGAGATTTTTACCACCAGGAGCCACATCACGAAAGGATTTTCAGGGTGTGCTAATTTATGGAAAAATGAATAGCACTTCGTACCCCGAAAATTTAACCACATATGTAAAAATATCTCAGCTTCGAAATGAGCCATCATGCATATCAAAGTTTACGATATGGACTGTGCTACAGAGGAAACGTTACCATTACCGCCTATGTAAAATTAATTACGCATATTGCCCCAATTGTATGAAAATCAACTCTATGAAATTTCTAAACTGGACAGTAACAAGCCAATAACAACGCAATCCATTGTGAAATTACTGTCTGCTTAATTCTTTGAGATTCCCATAATGACACATACTGGAAAATATCTTATTTTTCGTGACTTTCCCCATAGAAAAGTAACGTGAATATCAATTGCTGCGATAATGTAAAAGTTGTGTTAATAAATAAATAAAATTTAAAAATTGTGAAAAAAAAAATCGCCACAAAATTGGCTAGAAATTACTAAATGCGAAATAAAGTACAAGTAAAAATAAGTCGGTTTTATAGTTGTTTTACCTGATACTTTGGTTCCTTTGTCCCACCTGAATTCATACGTATTTTCCCTTTGTATCGTTATTTCTTCCGTTTCTGACAGAGTCTGTTCTACTGAGGTATTATTGACCTGAGTCCAGCTGAAGACAGTTGAGGGGGTCCTACTTATTTGTTTCTTATCCAAGTCATAATCAATTTCAGCAACTTCATCTCTCCCGAAGGCTTTTTTAAAAAATGAAAATTATAACAATAAGAAAAATGATGAAAGGTTACAGATGATTGATTTTTGATTGCTTAATGTCCAGTGACAAATATTTCACGCATGTTCAGGACAAGATCAAATTAACAATTAAGATGATAGAAACAGTAAACATAAAAAACATAAGGGCTGTTCCATTAAAACATACATTGTACCCAGGGAAGGCACTTTGAAACTAGAGTGACCACCCATAGAAGCGATTTAAGAGTCCTGCATATATTAAAATCAGTACAACACAATATTTCATACCCACCCATAGTGGCAAATTTATTAAGTTGCCTTCCCTGGGTCCCATGTATACTTTTATGGAACAGCCCTAAGGAAAACACATTAAAAATGAGAATGGTTAAGTCTTACTGAAACATTCAAGTTACGAAAGGAGATATTAATATCTTTTGTCAATCTGTTTCTTTTTTTTTACCGTACTTTTTTTAACACCTTGCAGACATTAACTATTACTATAAGGAATGTAAATCAATGTTAAAAAACAAAATCTAACTTATACAGTGTCTTGTGGTTGCTACCATATTAACTTCAGGACAACACATCAAGACAATCAAAATAGATATTCCATCGACCTATAAAGTGTGCCAAATTACTAAGGGTTATCTTTTTTGACTTTGTGCACATTCTGAAACAATCTTTGTTTTGCCTAAATGTGAATGGTAATTTTGATTGATGAAAAAAATCATGCTGGAATTCATTATTATTATTTTGCAAACATTGCACAGTTCACGTTTTGCTAAATCATGTAAATATTCCTTTCACTTTGTTCTTACCAAGTGGCTGATCCAGGGGATGTTCCTGGTGTTGGAACCCTCCCTTTTCATTTGACAACTAATGCTTTTGTATGGGGATATTTGGTTGGAACCTTATTTTTTATAAGACTTGCATGTGTTAAAATTAGAACCCCCTTTTAAAAAATGGATGGACCCATATCAGTTTCCGCTTATAATGAACTAGTGATTTTGTCCACTTAATATGACATAAAAATACCCTTTCAAAAAGAAAAGACTATTCCATAAAGGAGTAAGTTCGGTAAGGGCCAAATTTGGCCGATTATTAAGTTTCAGGATAAAATGTGTTTTAAGTTGATGAAAAGACATGTGAGAAAGTTATATAGAACTATTTTTGCCAGAGTTTTAATTTTAAGCATTGATTTTGAATAGGTTAAAAATAGAGATTTTTGCGAAATTGGAAAAATCGTCCGGATTTCAACCAAATTAAGACCTAGGAAACATAGAGCGCAGGCGTCGACAAACAAAATATTCAAGTCAGATATGTTATATGTCATAACAAACATTAGGTTTAAATATCTTTGTTGTCAACGCATGCGCTCTATGTTTCCTCTCCAAAAAATCAACGTAAATTTACCCGTTTTCATCGAATTTTCGCGGAAAATTAAAATGAGTGCTATATATTTGTGACGTTATGAATAGAACGCAAAAACATAAATTTACAACATAAAGACGATTTTCCAATCTAGTCATTATATATTACCTATGTTTCCTTGTGACATTGGTCAATAAATCCTAATTTCAAATTTCAGCTAGAATTAGGGCCCATTTTAGGGCCTTATCGAACCTTATACTCCTTTTCAGCCCCAGGTTTGTTATTGTATCTATCCTTTTTTTGGTACAATTTTTTGTGCACTGATGTCTTTCTTTTTGTCTTTGCACTTTTGGTTGTAATGTTGTTGGGCACTCAGGCTTCCGCCACCAATAAAAACTGACAACCACAAAATAGCACAATAGTGCTGAAGGTGGCGTTTTACATCAATCAATGTAACGTTATCATTCTTAGTATCTTAGCTGTCAGTGACTTTTTTTTTATATCTCTTTACTATTTAAAGATATTTTATTTAAATAATTTATTATTCAAATTAGGCTCAGTACTAGATAATATATATATAAAAAAAAAATATTTCCCCCCATTATTTTTCGTAGCGAAGACAGACTGTCATTAATATCTCCACCTTCATCATTTGGAAGATCAGATATAATACAACCCCCACTCAGAAACAGACTTTGTTCTCCTTCATAGTCACAGTCTGTAAATCCAACCCATCTAGTGAGAAAAAAAAACCGTTTTATTTATTGATAAATAATTTAATTTTGGATGTAACACATCTTCTGATTGGCTGAAAGTTTTTTGTCTATCCGCTCACAGACACAATTTTGTCATTTGACCATAAATAATTCAATTTTGGATGTAACAAGTCTTCTCGTTGGCTGAAAGTCTTTTTGTCTATCAGCTCATGGATATAATTTTGTCATGTGACCGTGAGGTGATAAATTTTTTTTCATGATTTACTCTTCAAAAATGGAATTCAGAATTAAACTATAAGGAGAGTTTGTAATATTTTTCCTGTTTAATCAAAATAATTCATAAAATTGGGATGACAACTTAAATTAGGGTGGGGAAACTAAACAAGAGGCTCTCAAGAGCCTGAATCGCTCACCTGTAATTTTTTGCTTAAATCTTTCATCAATGATTATTTTTGCTTTTCAATATATATTAATGAGTGGCTTAAAAATGCCATTTAAATGTTCTTTGTATCTGTAATATTTTCTTCAAAAGCAAAACAATGCATTTTACCCCTATGTTCCATTTTAGCCACGATAGTGGCTATGTTTCTTGACGTACAAGTAAATAAAATACAGAATTTATACTAGATACTCTGAAACTCATTCAGCCCAGGTTTGGCTGAAATTGATTCAGCAGTTTCAAAGGGGGCTAGGATGAAATTTGAAAAAAAGGCAGGACAGGAGTTTTGGGTTAAAAAAAAAGGCACGATGAGCAACTTTGCAAGAAAGAAAAACCAGGATGACAATTTATATAAAAAAAAGTCAGGATAAACTAATAAAAAAAAGGCAGGACTGCACAGAGTTAAAAACAGGCAGGACAGAGATTACAACTAAATAAAAAATGCAGGACAGAATTTTTCATTCTCGCCCCCCCCCCCCCCCCCCCCACATAAAAATCAAATGGTAGCTCCCTAAGGGAAATATAAAAACTGTCATACAAGTGGGATGTTGAGTTAGGTATAAAACCAGTCTTTTCGTTATCGTTTGTTGCTGCGTTACATTATTTTGTGCATAAATTAGACTGTTAGTTTTTTCATTTGAATTGTTTTATATTTGTCATTTTGGGGCCTTTTATAAAGCTGGCTATGCGGTTGAGGGCTGTACGGTGACCTATAGTTGTTAATTTTTGTGTCATTTGGTCTCTTGTAGAGAGTTGTCTCATTGGCAATCAGACCACCAGACTGTACCAAGTTAGGAATATGGCAGTTGTTTTTCACTAGTTTGGTTGATTGATAGCATATGATTTTGTCAGTTTTTATGGACTTCCCATGAATTTGCCTAGGAGTTCGTTTTGCTTGTTGTACTTTTTTATCTGAAGGAGTTTAAACCTTAGTTTCTTATTAATTTCTAAATTTATCAACTAAGAATTTGAAACTTATCTTACCTAGATGTAAAAGAGAACGAGGTAAATATTACGCACACGTTTTCAGGTCAAAGGGTAGATTGATCATAGTACTAAAGATACTCACGCACCACTATAATTGTACAATTTCAGGTTTGGTACATCTTCACGTAAAGTCAGAGAACGCCCTAAAAAATTATTGTCTTTGTATATTGTACACTTCGACTCTTCAGTAAAATCCTAAAATAGAATCTTCAACTAGATATATTTATGGCATTATGTTATTTTCTACTCACATTCTATTTACTATTTAAGCTTTCAAGATGATATTTGTAAATGTTTTTCATCAATAAAAAAAAATGAATACAAAAAAAACCAAGCATTCTGAGAGTATTGCATGGCAATACATAGTCCCCTACCGGTCAAAAAATCATTGTACTGGAACAAAATGCTAACTTGATCTATAACTTGTCATGGTGTAAACTATAGACCAATTATCAAATCAATATCTTCAAGCATGACGAAAAAAAGAGCGGAAAACTGATTATATTTGAGTGAATTTTCTAAGTCTAAGGACCACAACTCTGCACAAAATCATCATACCGGAACAAAATTCGAACTTGATCTGTAACTTGTCATGATAAAACTATTTAACAAATATCAAGTCAATATCTTAAAGCATGACGAAAAAAGTGTGGAAAACTGATTATTTAAGTGAATTTTCCAAGTCCAAGGACCATAACTCTGCACAAAATCATCATACCGGAACAAAATTCGAACTTGATCTGTAACTTGTCATGATTAAACAATACACCAAATATCAAATCAATATATTCCATGGGACACAGATGATGCCCCTGCTTGCATATCATATAAAATTATAAACAGACATAACTGAAGAAAGGTAAAAGTGACCCTACCCAAATTTGAACTTGATCTGAGTTTTGTGGTAATAAGTATTGTGTATATTAAGCTTCATAACATTTAGTTGAGGCAAACTAAAGTTAGAGAACGGAAACAAAAAATTCAGCAATTTTTCCCTTTGTAAAGGGGCATAACTTTAGAACAGTTAAAGTGACACCACCATAATTCAAACTTGATCTGTATTTTGTTGTAATGAGCATTGTGTATAAGTTTCATAACATTTGGTTGAGGCAAACTAAAGTTAGAGAACGGAAACGAAAAATTCAGCAATTTTTCCATTTGTAAAGGGGCATAACCCTAGAAAGGTTAAAGTGACACCACTAAAATTCAAACTTGGTCTGTGTTTTGTAGTAATAAGCATTGTGTATAAGTTTCATAGCATTTGATTGGGGCAAACTAAAGTTAGAGAACGGAAACGAAAAATTCAGCAATTTTTCCCTTTGTAAAGGGGAATACTCTACAACGGTTAAAGTGACACCACTAAAATTCAAATTTGATCTGTATTTTGTGGTGATAAGCATTTTGTATAAGTTTCATAGCATTTGGTTGAGGCAAACTAAAGTTAAGAGAATGGAAATAAAAAATTCAGCAATTTTTCCATTTGTAAAGGGGCATAACTCTAGAATGGTTAAAGTGACGCCACCAAAATTCAAACTTGATCTGTGTTTTGTGGTAATAAGCATTTTGTATAAGTTTCATAACATTTGGTTGAGGCAAACTAAAGTTAGAGAATGGAAACCAACTTTGGGACGTACGTACGTACAGACGGACAAGGGTAAAACTTAATGCCCCCTCCGCTACGGTGGGGGCATAAAAAAGTGTGAAAAACTGATTTGACGGATTGACGGATGAACAGACAGATGGAGTGCAAACCTAAAGTCCCCTTCGACTTCGTCGGTAGGGGACTAATTAATCAGGTACTCCTTATCTTGTAAATGATGCAATCTCATTTAAGGGCTAAATACTGGTTTTCTTAAACAGTTAACTTGTCACATAGCAGCATAAACAGCATGAAAACACACAGTTAAAATTGAGAATGGAAATGGGGAATGTGTCAAAGAGACAACAACCCGACCATAGAGCAGACAACAGCTGAAGGCCACCAATGGGTCTTCAATGCAGCGAGAAACTCCCGCACCCGGAGGCGTCCTTCAGCTGGCCCCTAAACAAATATGTATACTAGTTCAGTGATAATGGACGTCATACTAAACTCCAAATTATACACAAGAAACTAAAATTAGAAATTATACAAGACTAACAAAGGCCAGAGGCTCCTGACTTGGGACAGGCGCAAAAATGCAGCGGGGTTAAACATGTTTTTTGAGATCTCAACCCCCCCTATACCTCTAGCCAATGTAGAAAAAAAAACGTACAACAGTACGCACAGTAAAACTCAGTTTAAGAGAAGTCCGAGTCCGATGTCAGAATAGGAAACAAAAGAAAATAAACAAAATAACAATAATACATAAATAACAACAGACTACTAGCAGTTACTGACATGCCAGCTCCAGACCTCAATTAAACTGATTGGAAGAATATGTCTTCATCATATGAATATCAGGTACAATCCCTCCTGTTAGGGGTTTAGTATTATACCGTCATAAAATATACGAGAAGAACATAACCCGTGTCATGCCAACAACTGGTTTTACAATAAATATGTTTAATTCCGATGCAAAGATCCTATAAGTGAATCAATATTAAAGCCAAAATATGCAATCTTTAATGACCTGACAACAGTATCGTAACTATATCCCTTCTTAATAAGTCTGTTTAAAGGTTTTGTTAGCTTTTGAGGTGAATACTGACATTTTTGTGCTTTGTAAAGAATATTACCATAAAAGATTGGATGTGAAATACCCGAACATATAAGATGTCTGCATGTTGAGTTATATTTACGAATGATGTCCTTATACCAATGATAAAATTTAGTAAAACCCTGGTGTAATAATTTTTCAGTAATATATAAATTTCTCTCGCTAAAATCTAATACGTTGTTATATACACGAGCGAATCGTACAAGTTGAGATATATAAACACCATAAGATGGTGACAAGGGAACGTCACCATCTAAAAATGGATAATTAACGATAGGAAATGAAAAATCATCTCTTTTATCATAAATTTTTGTATTAAGCTTCCCGTTAATGATATAGATATCAAGATCGAGGAAAGGACAGCGGTCATTGTTAGTATTAGCTTTATTTAAAGTAAGTTCAACAGGATAAATTTCTTTACTGAAGTTGTCATTATTGAGAGCCAATATATCATCCAAATATCTAAAAGTATTGTTAAATTTTTGTATCAGATGTTGTTTCGATGGGTCTTTGCTGATTTTAGTCATAAATTGTAACTCATAACAATACAAAAACAGGTCCGCAATAAGTGGTGCACAGTTAATCCCCATTGGAATTCCGATAACTTGACGATATACGGAATCTCCAAACAGTTGTTCAGATTTCGGTACAAATTTCTCTTCTGACAGCTATTGCAACAATTGGGAACAGATCTGATCATTTATCATATTATTATAATTCCGATAAGGACGACATTGTTATTATTTCATTTTCTAAAGCTTTGCATCTAATTTCTCAATATTATGAGTGTTACGGCGGATACCACATGTGGAGCGGGATCTGCTTACCCTTTCGGAGAACCCTAAGATCCCCCTTTTTGTGGAATTCATGTTGCTCTTTTGTTTTCTTAGTTGTGTTATGTATACTGTTGTTTGTGCTTTGGTCCATTTCTTTTTTTGCCATGGCATTGTCAGTTTATTTTTAGGCTTATGAGTTTGAATGTCCCTCTGGTATCTTTCGCCTCTCTTTTAAAAATTGTAGATAAAATAATTTCTGAACTCTAAACTTACAAAATTATCTAGCAATCTCAAAGATGATGCTTTGTCGTTGAAATTATCGCAGAGCTTCTCATTATAATCTTCGCCATCCTGTACGACGAATATTTTTCCTTGGTAATATTTTTCCGAGTAAAGTATCCACCTTAATAAACAGTGAATAGAAACTGACAAATAAAGGTAAATCAGAAAAACTCCTATGAGGAATGATTACATTGAATCATGTGATCCACAAACAACAAAACAAAACATATGGGATATATTGTCACGAAATAGAAGATCCTTTATAATATCAGTTTCAAATGGAAAAAGTATTCTGGAATATTATTTCCAGTGGAATAAATATTACGTACAGTATATGTTCCTAACGGAATAAATGGTATAGAATATTTGTTCCAACATTGAAACAGATATTATGACATTGTTTATAACAAAGTTTCTAGTGGAACATCTGTAAGGCGGAACAAATATACGTTGACACCATCCTATAACAAAACAAATTACAATTTTTTATTTAGAAATTTTTTTTCTATGACCAGTAAGTTTTTTTTATATAAGATTATAACTCATAATTGCTAATATAAAACTGTAATTCCATTAAAAATTATATGTGTTTAAAAATATTGTCTCTGTTTGTTTTGTTTTCTTTTCTTCACTGACTTCTCTCTAATTTATAAAATATACAGAAAAATCTGCATAAGAGATAATCTGTATTAAAAAAAGAAAGTTATACGCGCGGCCATAGTAAATATTGTGTCAAAATTTTATGAAAATTAAACGAGCTAAATTAATTTTAGTGAAGGTGTTTGGGACCACCTTAATAGACCATTAATTTAAGGTCCGTTTGTACGCATTTCATGTAGATTGAATCTGCATTAAGAGACATTAAGTGGTCTCTTTAAACAACTTTCTCTGTATTAGTCTTGGTATGGCATTTGAAAAATCAAACTGCTTGTGAGCAATGAAGTGTAAAGGTAATTGCTTTCATTTAGCAACTTTGTCAATTTAAAAATAAAACATTGAATTGTAATTATAAATTTATAAATTATAAAAATATGCAAATTATAAATTTTTATTTGAGTTGAAATTACCTCTCTTTGTTCATGATTGCACATTTGTAGTTGAGTCTTTTTCTATAACAGATTCGTTCACGCAATTTTCGATAAAAGTTTTGTTGACAATATAAAAAAGAAGATGTGGTATGATTGCCAATGAGACAATTCTTCACAAGAGACCGAATGACACAGAAATTAGCAACTATAGGTCACCGTACGGCCTTCAACAATGAGCAAAGCCCATACAGTATAGTCAGCTATAATAGGCACCGTATATTTGGTAATTCAACTACACATCATATTGTAACTTGAATATCTAAGTATAACATATCATTTATAAATTGCATGAAATTAACTGGATATTAAAGATTTAAAGAAGGATCACTTCACACTACTATTTTCTTTGAACTATCAAAGGTAGTACATAACAAACCTTAGGGGATTTAGATATCAAGTCCGTATCATAGGGTTATAGGGGCAGATCCTGCAATTTTTAAAAGAAGGGGGTTCCAAGCCCATGATAAAGGGGGGTTCCAACTATATTTCCCCTATCAAATGCATTGATCGTCAAAAAAAAGTGTGTGTGGCGGGGTTTAGGGGGTTGGATCCGCTACTGGGGTTTTCATGTAATCTTTACTCAAAAAACAAACTTGATTTTGAAAGCAATACTTACACCCCTTTTTTGCATTTGGCACTTGATGTGATGTCATCAAAGTCATACTCATCTAAATCCGGACAGGATTCTGTAAAATCTTGGCTTCTTCCACCATAACAGATGTGTTCGAACAGTGTTATCTTGTTGTACAATTTCAGGTTTGGTACATCATCACGGAAAGTCAGAGAGCGCCCTAAAAAATTTTTGTCTTTGTATATTGTGCACTTCGACTCTTCAGTAAAATCCTAAAAAAAGAAACTTCAACCAGATATATTTATGACATTATGTTATTTCCAGTCTACTCCCATTCTATTTATACTTGACCTGTTAGAATGTTAAAATCCTTGTTATAGGTACTTCTGATGGCAGTGGAAATTAACTATATTATGTACTATTAAAAGAAAGCCTGAGGCATATTATTAAGTATTACACGGATGTAAGTTGCAACAATCATAAATTTAGTTGATATATGATATCGAAAGACAAATTTGATAGTAAAAAAACACCAAAAGCAAAGCATAATGATTATAATTAATATGCTTCTATAAATGTCAGCTAGTCATAAAATAGACAACTTTCGAGTACGATGCATTTCCGTCAAAAACTTTGGTTTTAGTAAACATCATTTGTGCGTTTAGGGGCATCGTCACTTGCGTTCCCATGTTGAGCGAGTGGTTGGAAAAATATGATCCTATATTGCACGAATTATTTGGCAAATTAAATTCTTAAAATTGACAATCAGCACTGCTATCATTAGGGCAAGCATAATTGACGATTTTTTTTCGATGAAGGACATAACTCGAAAGTGGATATTCTTATCAGTAAATAGATGCCAACTTGACAAAAGCAGGAAGTCATGTACTACAGATAATTACTTATATGAGTTATGATGAGTGTTAGAACAGGTGCCACATGTGAAGCAGGATCTGCTTACCCTTTAAGATCACCTGAGATCACCACCCTTTTTTGTGGAGTTTGTGTTGCTCAGTCTATATGTGTCTATGTTGTGTTTTGTAAACTGTTGTTTGACTGTTTGTGTTTGGTCTTTTTCTTTTTTTGCCATGGGGTTGTCAGTTTATTTTCGGCCTATGAGGGTTATGAGTTTGAATGTCCCTCTTATCTTCTGCCTTTTTTTTTTTATTATTTATCTATAGATAAAACTATTTCAATCTTATTCTGGTTGAAAGTCTATATACTTACAAAGTTGTCTAGTAATTTCAAAGATGATGCTTTATCATTGAAATCATTGCAGAGCTTCTCACTATAATCTTCCCCATCCTGTACAACAAATACTTTTCCTTGATAATATTTTTTCGAGTAAAGCATCCATCTTAAAAATTGAATTAAAAACGGCAAATGAAGGTAAATCAGAAAACTCTAATGAAGATTGACTACATAGAATTACAGTGTGAGCCCTAAACAACAAAACTAATGGGATATATGCTATAACAAAACGATTTTTATATAACTAGTCAGTTTTTATATCCCACCTAGGGGCATTATGTTTTTCGGTCTGTGCATCAGTTCATCCGTCTGTCCCGCTTCAGGTTGAAGTTTTTGGTCTAGGTAGTTTTTGATGAAGTTGATGTCCCAATTTCACTGTCCACTGAGCATAGAAAATGATAGTGCGAGTGGGCCATCCGTGTTCTATGGACACATTCTTGTTTTATATAAAATTGTAAATTACATGTGTTTAAAAATATCATCTTTGTTCTTTTTTTTTCTTAACTTCTTCTTTCTAATTCATAACATATACAGTAAAATCTGCTTCTTTGTATAAGGCAATCGGCCTAAACATGCATGGAGTATTTGCCACTGGACATCAAGCAACCAGCAATCAATCATGTATTAAGCAAAAACTTTAAAACCTGTGTTATAAGACCATTAGTTTTACATCCATCTGTACTGTAGTGCATTTCATATAGACTGAACCTGTATTAAAAGACCACCTGTCTTATGAGACCACTAGTTTGTTCTCCATTAAGACGTCTCTTAAAACAGCTATAACTGTACATATTAATCTTGAAATGACTATTTGAAAAAAAATAAAATGCTCCGCTGGGCGCAGCTTGATACGACCGCAGAGGTCGAACCCTGAACAGTTGGGGCAAGTATGGATACAACATTCAAGCTTGATAAGCACTGAATTTGGATTGTGATTAAATATGTGACACAGCATAGGTTTCTGACACAGAATGAATGTGGTCTAAGAACTTAAAAATTTTTAATTTACCTATTCAAACCATATCATTATTATTTGCTTTTATATATAAATCAGAAATAACCAATTTAAAATGGAAAATTTTAAAGAAAAAAAAGGAAAAAAAGGAACCCCCCCCCCCCCAAATTTGTTGAACCCCCTTATGATTCATCACCCCAAAACTCAATTCCAGCCTTCCCTTTGTGGTATGGTATCTTGCAGTACAATTTCAGAGAGATCCATAAACTTGAACACAAGTTATTGTCTGGAAACTAGAAAAATGCTTATTTTTGGCCCCTTTTTGGCCCCTTGTTCCTAAACGTTTTGGGCAATTACCCCCAAACTCAAACCCAGCTTTCCCTTTGTGATATGGAACCTTGTAGTACAATTTCATAAAGATCCATACACTTACACACAACTTATTGTCCTGAAATTAGAAAAATGCTTGTTTTTTTCCCCTTTTTGGCCCCTAATTTCTAAAATTTTAAGGCAATTACCCCAAAATCAATCCCAGCCTTCCCTTTGTGGTATGGTACCTTGCAGTACAATTTCAGAGAGATCCATACACTTGAACACAAGTTATTGTCTGGAAACTAGAAAAATGAGTGTTTTTTTCCCCTTTTTGGCCCCTAATTTCTAAAATTTTAAGGCAATTACCCCAAAATCAATCCCAGCCTTCCCTTTGTGGTATGGTACCTTGCAGTACAATTTCAGAGAGATCCATACACTTGAACACAAGTTATTGTCTGGAAACTAGAAAAATGCGTGTTTTTTGCCCCTTTTTTGGCCCCTAATTCCTAAAGTTTTGAGACAATTACCCCCAAAATCAATTCCAGCATTCCCTTTGTGATATGGAACCTTGTGGTACAATGTCAGAGAGATCCATACACTAACACACAAGTTATGTCTGGAAGTTACAAAAATGCTTATTTTTGGCCCCTTTTGGGCCCCTAATTCCTTAACTGTTGGTACCATAACCCCTAAAATCAATCCCAACCTTCCTTTTGTGGTATTGAACCTTATGGTAAAATTTCATAGAGATCCATTCACTTAAACTAAAGTTAGAGTGCGAAAACCAATGTGTCTTCGGAGGACGACGACGACGCCAACGTCATACCAATATACGACCACAAAATTTTTTTTGCGGTCGTATAAAAATGGGGAATGTGTCCATGGGACACAGATGATGCCCCCACTTGCATTTAACATTAAAATTGGCATAACTCGAGAAAAGTAAAAGTGACGCCACCCAAATTCCAAATTGATCTGTGTTTTGTGGCAATATTAAGCATTGTGAATAAGTTTCATAACATTTGGTTGAGGCAAACTAAAGTTAGAGAATGGAAACCAATTACGGACGTAGACAGACAAAGGAGGGTTTACTTAATGCCCCTTTGCCAAGTGATGGGGGGGGGGGCATAAAAAACTTGATTTTGATAGCAATACTTACACCCCTTTTTGGCATTTGGCACTTGATGTGATGTCATCAAAGTCATACTCATCTAAATCTGGACAGGATTCTGTAAAATTTTGGCTCCTCCCACCATAACAAATGTGTTCGTACAGTGTTATCTTCAAAGAAAACAAAGACAAATAAATAGACATCTTTGAGATGGGAGCCATCTGTACAGGCCCTGCTGTAAATTACGTGTGGTAAACAATTTGTATGGATAAGCTGATATGAAGCACTTTTTCAGATATTAAAATTGAGAATGGAAATGGGGAATGTGTCAAAGAGACAACAACCCGACCATAGAACAGACAACAGCAGAAGGTTACCAACAGGTCTTCAATGCAGCGAGAAATTCCCGCACCCGAAGGCGTCCTTCTGCTGGCCCCTAAACAAATATATATACTAGTTCAGTGATAATGAACGCCATACTAAACTCCAAATTGTACACAAGAAACTAAAATTAAAAATAATACAAGACTAACAAAGGCTAGAGGCTCCTGACTTGGGACAGGCGCAAAAATGCGGCGGGGTTAAACATGTTTATGAGATCTCAACCCTCCCCCTATACCTCTAGCCAATGTAGAAAAGTAAACGCATAACAATACGCACATTAGAATTCAGTTCAAGAGAAGTCCGAGTCTGATGTCAGAAGATGTAACCAAAGAAAATAAACAAAATGACAATAATACATAAATAACAACAGACTACCAGCAGTTAACTGACATGCCAGCTCCAGACTTCAATTAAACTGATTGAAAGATTATGTCTTCATCATATGAATATCAGGTACAATCCTTCCCGTTAGGGGTTTAGTATCATACCATCATAACATATATGAGAAGAACATAACCCGTGTCATGCCAACAACTGGTTTTTAAATAAATGTGTTTAGTGCCGATGCAAAGACCCTATAAGTGAATCAATATTAACGCCAAAATATGCAATCTTAAATGACCTGACAACAGTATCGTAACTATATCCCTTCTTAATAAGTCTATTTAAAGGTTTTGTTAGCTTCAGAGGTGAATACTGACATTCTTGTGCTTTATAAAGAATATTTCCATAATAAATTGGATGTGAAATACCTGAACGTATAAGAAGTCTGCATGTTGAGCTATATTTACGAATGATGTCCTTATACCGATGATAAAATTTAGTAAATGTTTTGACTAGTTTGTGATATCGAAAACCCTGGTGTAATAATTTTTCAGTAATACATAAATTTCTCTCGTTAAAATCTAAAACATTGTTACATACACGAGCGAATCGTACAAGTTGAGATATATAAACACCGTAAGATGGTGACAAGGGAACGTCACCATCTAAAAATGGATAATTAACGATAGGAAATGAAAAATCATCTTTTTTATCATATATTTTAATATTAAGCTTTCCGTTAATGATATAGATATCAAGATCGAGGAAAGGGCAGTGGTCATTGTTAGTATTAGCTTTATTTAAAGTAAGTTCAACAGAATAAATTTCTTTAGTATACATACTGAAGTCGTCATTATTGAGAGCCAAAATATCATCCAAATATCTAAAAGTATTATTAAATTTGTGTATCAGATGTTGTTTCGATGGGTCTTTGCTGATTTTTGTCATAAATTGTAACTCATAGCAATACAAAAAAAGGTCCGCAATAAGTGGTGCACAGTTAGTCCCCATGTGAATTCCGATAACCTGACGATATACGGAATCTCCATTACATACATTGTTTGTTTTTTTGTTTTTTTTTTGTAAGTCTCGTTATGTGCTAAAAGAGATTTTAGTTGAAGTGTTATATTTGGCGTAGGAAGTTGTACGAGATATAGAGCAGACATGATCTGCACCATAGGACATGGGGTTGTCAACTGAAACCAAAGTTTTTGACCTTGACCTTTAACCTACGAAGTTGTACCTACATTATTACACACCCTCTGGTGTTGGTTAATATGCATGTCAAGTATAAAGTATGAAATCATAATGGTTCTCTAGATATAGAGCGGACACAATTGGTTACGGACGAACGGACAGACCAACTGAAACCAAAGTTTTTAACCATGAACTTTGACCTAGGAAGTTGTACAAAACATTATGACACACCCTCTGGTGTTGGTTAATATACATGTCAAGTATAAAGTATGAAGTCATAACGGTTCTTTTTACATAGAGCAAACACAATTTGTTACGGACGGATGGACGAACGGACGGACGGGCGGTCGGACAGACTGATCACTATAGGGAGACCCGCCACTAGGCGGGACCCTAATAAACAAGGGTGCACATGCTTAAACGTCTCGCCTACTTTTCTGAACATTGACTTTTGTCACAGGAGAGAACAAGCAGTTGTGTTCTTCATGTTCTTGTAAATTCTTAGTAAAACTTTCACTCCATGTGCCGTTGAAAGATGGGAAACAGGGCTTCATTCACTTAGGCGTCCTTCACGCACATACACTTTTACAAAAAAAACAAAAAACAAACAATTGATGCTGGCTTACGAATTCAGGTGTCTTTGCGAAAAAGCCACTTCTTTCCATATAGAAAACAGCTAGTTACATATTGCTTTCCTTATTTTGACCTTAACTTTCTTAAAAAGATTTTTTTTACCGTCAGTGATAATGACGGGGGGGGGGGGGGGGGGGGTGGGGGGGGGGGGGGGGAGGTTGGAGGGGGAGGGGGGTCCTTCAGTTTTGTATTTTTAGGCCATTTTCTCTATTCTTTATACTTTTTACCCATTATTCCCTATTCTTTATATTTTAGCTTCATATTCTATATTTTTTTCCATGGTTATGAAACCTATCAGTTTACAATATACACCTGTCATGCGATTCTATAGTTGAGGTAAATAAAATTAAAAATTAAAAAAATACACTTATAAAATCAGTCTATATTGACAAAAACATCTGGTGGTTTCATGATAGTGTGTTCCCCCCTAGTGCAGGAGGTTGCAAGTTTGATCTCTGATCCATTTAAAACTATTACTTGAAAATCAATTTTTGATGCTTCTCCACTAAACACAGGACATTTAGGGGTACGCCAAAAATACTAATAGACTCGGAGTCCTGAGGTAGGATAGCACTGATTCATGTTGAATGTTTAAAACCTTGGGAACTACTGTTAGCCCATTAAAATATCCGGCAAACAGTGTCTGTCTAGATAGTACAATCCACTGTTCATATTCAAATCGTATTATCATGTTTGCGCCCTTATACGCATGAAATATTTGCCACTGACCGTTAAACTACAATCTTCATCATCAACTATGAATGCGCTTTTTCTAATGTGTTGCATTGTCAAATGTTAATTGAAGGTTTAAATAGGTATGAAAGATGGTTATTAAAGATACTGTAAATTCAGAAATTATTGCGTGCATTTATAATTGCAATTTTGTCATTTTAGAGTAAAATGCGATTTTTATTTTTGCGATATTGAGAAAAATCAGGTTTAATTCATATAAAAATTTCAAAATTTTTTGCAATTATAACCCTCAGGGATTCAAATTAACATTTGGTACTGGAAGGTCCAGGACCTTTGACTCTCCAAACTGAAAGGTCCACAACCTTAATTCCAGGTCCTACTTTTACTTAAAATATTTCATAACTCAGTTAGATACAAAATTAATGTGCTTTTGGTATAAGGTTAGCTTATTTCATTGTTTGTTTCACGATAAATGTAATTGTCTTGTATATAATTAATTCAAGTAATCTTTTTTTTTTTTGGTATTGGGGAAGGTGTCACTGTGGATGGGTGTGTTGTCTCAACGATTGATATTAAATTGCTAATTATGCCATGATTATCTCAGGGCTCACACGTATTTCAGCTCGATTGTAAAGTCCACTGGAGCTTATGCTGATTTGCTTACATCCAGGTATCATATCTAGTTGTAATATCTGTTAAAATAAAGTAAGAAACTTCCAGCTATTTTAACAGGCCCTTCAAAATTTATATTGAGAAAAAATTACCCCTTGAAATTGCAGTAATATGTTTACACTTTAAAAACATCTACATGCATTATCAACATTTATCACTGATAAAGAAAATTTATACTGTCACATTGTATTGGATTTTGACATTAAAATTTGCCAAAAAGTTATTTTGAGTTTCTGTATAAAATATTTTCTGCTTTTTCTTTCTTTTCCATATATCTTTTGGTTTTCAATTCTAGTGTTTATATTTCATAATCATAGATATATTTTGTCACCTGCCTGGAATTTTTTTTTATGTAGTTGATCGCCAAAATCCGGAATTACCCTAATCCGCTTCCGGAATTGGACCCGATATTGCAATTGTCTTCATGGCATCCATTGTTTTTCAATGTTGTTTTTGTCAAGTCAGATACGATTTTACTCGAATTTACACCTTACTTGAACTTACTTGTCGGCGATTTTCTGTATAAAGCTAGCGGTTGAACAAAATTAACATCGCTGTCATGAATAATAAAGATGATATAAGTTTTGAGATCGTTTATTTGGAGACTTTGATAAAAAGGTTTTCAAAGTTATTTCTTTATTTATTTTTAAGTCGATGGTCCGTCGGGCGTAGCTAGTAACCAAGTCGAAAGTCCGATTGCAAAAGTGGAAGGTCGCGGACCTCGGACCACCGCTAATTTGAACCCCTGAACCCTGTCGATTTTTTCGCAATAATAAAAACATCGCAATAATTTCTGAATTTACAGTAGATCAGGAGTCTAAATGTTCCACGACAGATTTTTCTTAAACTTCTAGATGAGGGGGTGGACAGCTTTTGAGGGAGGTGGGAGACAAAAAATAGGTGGGAGAGAAAAAAAGATTCTAAAAGTGGGAGTGGGAGATAGGGGCGGAAGGTGGGAGAAGAGTACCTCCCTGTCTACCCCCTCCTAGATCTGTTAAAGACTTCTGGGTTAATGTACATTCAAAGTTCAATAGAAAAACTTGGGGTCACAGATATAGTTTTTTTTCGTTAAAATGGTATATTTGATAATATGGCCATCCTTAAAAAAACCTTTGTTTGATGTTGTCTACCCGTGGCTTTTTGAGGGTTTGGAAGGTACATGTAGGTAAGGATTTTATTATTTTAACAACAAAAGTTACACATTTTAGACAAGAAAACAATGTTAAATCAGGAAAAAATCTTTCAAAAGAAATTTT